CAGATCATAAAATCCACCTCTCGCGCGCACCAAGACCGTCCTGACATTACTGTTTTATGACCTTGACTTATTGTGGTCACCTGGATAATATTTAAATCAACGTTATGGTCTCTCACTTACATTAAACCCGCCACGAGACATTCTAGAAAGGCTCTAGGAGATGAGTCAAACACAAAACACACACACATCCACACACTCTGCCTCTTTGGGGGAGGGGGGTCTTGCTAAAAAACACTAAAAACAGAAAACCACCCATTTGAAGATTACGATTCTGGAAATTTATTAGGATTTTTTCTCCATTAAGGAAGCTACATGCAAAAGATACAACATACAGAATATCTTTAAATAACACAACTCCCAGACAGAGACAGGGCAATATTGGGGAGCATTCTTTGCTTTGCTATGTTCTATTTTTAATTTTTTTGTTCCTCTGGATGGAATTTCTGAGATGTTAGTGGGTGGAGGGCATGGGGGTGCTGGGAGGGGGTGGGAGAAAAGCAGAAAGCAGTACAAATACGAGACTTCAAGCAGATTCTCAGAGCGACTGGGAGGTAAAGACACCGAGAGGGTTTGGTGGAGGCGCTGGGTGCTACAACAAACACACAAACACTAGCCGAACTTTCCAAAACGTCTATTATTCTAAGGAGGAAATGCAGCAAGGAAGGAGCGATTTTGACTGTGCTCTGCAAGATTACAGACCCTCTCTGGTTGATTTTTTTCTTTTTTCCCCTATAAGCGGGTGGATTCGATCTTAACTTTGCATGGAGAACACAGAATACTATGGGTGAGTGCGTGGGTGAGAGGTTGACACACACACCAACCACACTCCCACCCCATATACAAGGGCACACATCACACCCCACACCCCACCACCCCATTTCTCATGCTTTAGGTGGAAGCATCTTCGCAGCACGAACCATAGGTCCCTTGGAAGGAGAGTCTGAGGTCTTTGCCTTTTTTGCAGGCGCGTTGCATTTATACTCAGGGAAGAAAAAAAATATATCACCAGGCACAAAGGGAGGAGGGGCGGGGAAAGGAAGGAGGAGGGAGGGAGGAGGGGAGGCCGCACACTCAGGTGAAATTAAAATTGGAGGTCAGTTCCCGGATCCGATTCTCTCGGTTCATTTTCTTGAGTTTCATTCTGCGATTTTGAAACCAGATTTTGACTTGTCTGTCTGTAAGGTTAATGGTCTTGCTAATCTCCAGGCGGCGCTCTCGCGTCAAATACATATTGAACAGAAATTCTTTCTCCAATTCCAGCGTCTGGTGTTTAGTATAGGGGCACCTCTTCTTCCTTCCGCTCTTTGCTGTCAGCCAATTTCCTGTGGTGTTTTCTGCCTTTATCTCCTCTGTTAAAAATAACATTATTTACATAAGTATCCCTCAAAGAACCAAACCCTCTCAGCCTGCAGCCTTTGCCAGCCTGCTGTGGGGTGGCTGAGGGAGCACAGGGGAGCTGCTCTTGCCCCATAGGCCTGGCTGGCGGGGTTCTCTTGAACTCAGAGTTCTTAGAATTTTTTTAGGGTTTAAACTTTCAGGGGAGAAAGGGAGGAGGTTCTTGCCTCTAAGCCTTTATTAAATGTAAATACCCAAGTCCACCTTAACTTATAACAGATCCTGAGCATGCTTGCTTTCCCCTATCTTGCTTACCCCAGAGGGTGCCCTAAAGCCTGCCAGGCCCTCCTTTTACTCTGTTCTGTTCAAGCTCTGGAAAAATCTAGCAAGATATAAAAGCATTTTCCAGGCCCCAAACCAGAGTACAGAGTCCACCTGCAGCCCAGAGTAATTCCCAGAGAGCTTTGACCCTTTTCAACTCAGTGCAGGGATTGTGTCCCAGCCTCTGTGGCCAGAGGCCATTGTAGTTGTCCCTACACCAGGCCCCCAGCTCTTTACTCCCACCTGAGTTGCCACAGAGAGACTCTGCCATATTAGATCTCCCTGGTTTCCATCTCTTCCTCTCCTGGCCATTTCCCCCAGGTATGTGTAGCTGAGGCAGGGGGGCTTGTGAGAGCATCAGAGGTCAGGGGCAACAGCTCTGGGGAATGCTGAGGGGTCTCAGACAATTTCCCTGGCCAGAGAACCTAGGTCAAGGGAGAGAGATCTCCCCAAGGAAATGCAGCTGCTTAGAAAACTCTTGCCCAGTGTGCATAGGTAGATGTGTATGCCTGCAAGTACCTGTGTTTACCTGCAGAGCTACACACACCTATATACATAAGTATCCATACACATAGATAAACATACATGTGTCTACTTATATAAGGAAAACTATAGTCTAGTGTGTATTTCCCACTATCTTAATTGATAGCTTCTCTCTTTAGCACACATTCTTGCTGAAATGGACCAGCCTTGCTCCTCAAGCAGCAGAAGGGAACTTGGCCATCTTTTTAGGGAAAAACACAGAGTCCAAAGACTTGAGGGGGCACCCAGAAAAGGACTTTGCTGATGGTTCTGAGCTCTCTTTCTCCTTTCTATGTCAAATGAAGCTACCAAGTTCCTGATCTTATCTTGATGGGGGTGGGGTGAAGTGAGGGCCTTAAGGGAATCAGAAAACACCAAAAAGAAAAAAAAAAAAAAAGAAAGAAAAGCCAACTTAGGCTAGAGTCTAAAAAATCTGAATGTCTTTACTTATTTTCATGCTTCTGCACCTGCAGCTTCCTGCCAAATTGTTTGCAGGCTCTCCACATCTAATTCTGCCTTGTTTATTTTCTTATGGGGTTGTTGGGTTTGGGGGGGATGACAGAAATAATAAATAGGGAAGTTTAGCAGAAAGCTCTTTTGCCTCTGGTAGAGACACCAAAATGAGGGGGTATAAGAAGGGCACAGGAAGCAGGGGTAAGATGAGGGATTAGTTGAAATGGGAGGGCTCAGGTTGTGGAAACAGCAGGAGAGAAAGGGGAGCCTACTAGAATGGGTGCAGGTAAAGAGGGGAACTTGTTAACCTTGACTTTGCTTTTGGTAGGGCTAGAACTTAGCTTTTCCTACCCTAAATCTGCACCCCAACCAAACTCAGTATCTGTAGGGAGGGTAAAAATTAAACCTTCACACTGCACATATGCCACAGGGAAGGCTTGATGGGTGTGGGCACCTTACTCTCCCCCTCATCCTCAGGAATACTCGGTGTTCATCTGGTCAGTAACTTTTCGGGCTGATTTGCCAAGGCCACTTTTGGAGAGCAGACCCAAGAGGATGAGGCTCTGCCCTTGCCCGCCAAAAGACTGCCTGTGCATGTGTGAGCGGGCATGTGTGAGTGTGCCAGGAGCATGCAAGATGGGTGTGTGTGTGACACAGGTCGCCGTCAGACATGCATGTGCGTCGCATCCATATACAAAGCACCAGAAGATCCAGGCGACCCCAGCCTGCTCGGCTCTCAGTATTTCATCTGCCTCTTCACCCAGTAAGCCCCTGTTACACTCTGTGGCCAGTAGCCAGTGTCATGGGGAGCAGGTTTATTCCTCCCCGTTGGGCCTTTTCCTATGCTTTTTGCTCCAACTTTTCAGGAAAAGTCGTTCCCTTCAGCCTCACTCCCCTGCTCCGGTTTCTTCCACATTCTCTCCCCAGGTGTCAGAGAAAGATCTTGAAGGCCTCCAGCCTCTACAGCAGAAATGAATCTTGAACCCTGAGCTTGAACTCTAGCTAGGCTTTCTCTCTCCAACCCAAATCACAATGAAATCCAACCAAAGCCACACTCCCTTTCAGGAGAAAATCTCCTGCCACGCACACAGAAATTTCCCAACCGGTCATTTGTAAGCTGCTTTTGGAAACCAATAAAAAAGTGTAATTTAACTGGAAAAAAAGGAAAAGAAAAAATGCTAAAGAGGAAACAAAAACACATTCCAAATGCCCTGTTCCAACGCCATCCTCAAGCCAGGCATCTGGAGGAGGGAGGGACGTGGCGGGCAGCCCTTCACCTCCACCTCTTCCGGCCCCAGCCCCGCTGCCCCAAACCAAAGGAGCCCTAGCCGGGCCCCAAACCAAAGGAGCCCAAACAGCACGCACAAATCAGACCCACAAACAACAAATCGCGTTTCGCAGGAAACAATTTTCAACTGGGAAAACGCAGTAAAGAGAAATCCCCCATCTCCCAAGCCTTCCTAGTCCCTGGCCCAAGATCGCCATTTTAAGCTTTTTTCAATCCTCTGACCTGGGGTGGGGGTGGGGGCTGGGGGAGACATCAGACCCCCAGAACGCCAGCATTGAGAAAGCAAACCAAAGCCAGCACTCGCCCTTGATCACCACTCCTGGGCAGCACACAGCGTCCGCAGGATGCCCGCGGTGCGCACTGCCTCCGCCTTAGCACCCACGGCCAGGCGGGCCAGGCACCTCCAAGTCGCCGCTTACCTTCTCCAGCTAAATGACCCACCAAAGGCCTGGAACTCAGCAAACACTAGTCACAAGCCAGGTCGCGTTCCCCGGGCCTCCTTGGCCCAATCCTCTGCCTGCCCCCAACCCTGGTCACCAAGACCAAGTGCCCAGGCGTCCCAGCCGGCCCCGCGGCCCAGGCGGCCTTACCTTTAGCTTCGTTATCCGAGGTGTCCGGGCTGGAGTCGGCAGTCTTGGCCCGCTCCTTTTCGCTCTCCGAGGGGCTACCTTTTGGGCCCACCAGGCTCTGCTCCGTCTTAATCTCATTGGGACTGGGGGTCTGGCTGTCGGACTTGGGGGTCTCAGGGAAACTCACTTTACCCCCGAGCTGAGGCGATTCCAGATGTTCGGCGCGAGGGTTGAGATTGGCCCGCTGCTCGAAAGGGGCTTCGAAGTCGTTGGCCCCAGCACAGTGGGGCGTCTTGTCCAGCGCGGAGTAGCTGGGGCTGGCGCGGTAGTAGCTGGGCACTGGCACCTCGTGCTCCCCGAGGCAGGACTCCGGCAGGGGGTGGGAGTAGAGAGCTGCCTCGGGGCCACTTTTTGACCGCTTCTCTGCGCTGTACATGCAGCAGACATTCTCCTCCTTGACACTAGGTGGGTAGGAGCAGGAGGACAGCGGCCTGCCAACAGGTTGTTCCAGGCGATAGGCGGCTTTGGGGTCGCCCCAGGAGTCCAGCTGCGAGAGGTAGGACGGATAGGTGTTGAGGGCGAGGTTGGGGCTGCCGCCCTCGTCCCTCTTGGAAAGCGAGGGCGCGAGCCCGCAGCCCCTCATCACCCCGCAGTTGAAGTCACTCCCAGATTGCATATACATGCCTGCGCTCCGGCTATAGCGCTCTCCTCCGCCCGGCGCAGCCAAAGGCTCCGCGTACGAGTTCGGAGTTACATTGCGAGGGCATGTCATTTTCAGAGAGAGGGGTTTTTAAGGAGCAATACTACAGCGGAGGAGCTGACATCTTTTTTTTTCCCCCATCCGGGAGGGGGGGCGCAGTTAGAGGGGAGGGAGGAAAAAGAAGGGGAGGAGGGAAATATCAGCTCCATAATTATCCGCGCATTCGGTCCTCACCATGTGACGACTAGACCAATGGGATTTGAAAATGGCCTTGATGATTCAGACGGCCGTGACGTCAGCGGGGTCAAGTTGTCGGCAGGCGGAGCGCGCATCGTGGAGTAACAGCGCCACCTAGCAGCTGCCTCGGGGTAGGGGCACCGGAGCCCTTCCCTGCGAACAAAGGAAGCGCCCCCCGGGGCGGCAGGGGCGGTAGGGGGGTGGAAAGAGATGGGGGGGGGTTCGGAGAGAGTGGGGTTTGTTTACGCGGGAACTAGTCTGTAACTCCTGGGGAGAGGGGGTGGAGAGGGGGGAAATGCGGGAGAGAGGGAGAGAGCAAGGCAACCCAGGGCTCAAAACAGTCAAATTCAAATTAAAAGGTCAAGACACGATTCAGGTACTTCTTCCCCTCTCTTCATCTCCCCCTTCCTTCTCTTGGGCCCCTGCGTTAGCTTCTTCCCATGAGTGGGAGCGGGGAGAGGGTTTTTTATTTTATTGAGGTGGGGGAGGTCTTATAGAGAAAAGGGGGAAAAGTTAAGGAATCTCAAACAGGACTAAAGTTTCTGCTCCCCTGCCTCCACGTTCCTCAGGCTTGGTCCTTGAGACTGGGGACTTGGGGACCGCGGGTCTTGGAGGTTGGTTCAGTTGGAGATTCCCTAAGGGAGTTGGCCGAGGAGTCTCCAGTCTTTGGGATGGGCCAGGGAGGGGATCACAGTCACTTCTGGGCTGATCAGGAAAGAAGGTTTGGAGTGGGTGTAGGATAGGGCGAGGAGGAGGAAGCTGGCGATCAGAGGAACCAGCTCTCTAACCCGACGGGCCTGGCCCAGGAGAGTGGCCGACTCCTAGGCTGACTCCCACCGCCCATCACCATCTCAGTGGCCGGAGGGCTTTGGCCTTGGAGCGGGTTGGGCTGCTTTGCTCCAGGCCCTGGCGGCCCTCGCTTTCCGCTTGACCTTGCCCCCACTAAAACAGGGAAGATTCCCGGAGAGAAAGAGGAAACCCGCGAAACTTGGCTAGTTTGGAGGAGTCACGTATCACGCGGGAAACCAGGACGCAAGACGCAACAAAATTCGACCCAGAGAAGTGTTCTTTACATTTCTAGAGCGAATGTGCTAGGAGCATTTTTGAAAGAAGAAAGACCAGTCTATTTTTGTTGTTTTTTAATATAGAGAAGAAATCAAGAGAAATGTATGTCCGTAATAGTTCTTTCCGTTTCTCCGTCGCCTTTCTTCCAAAGCGAACTAAACTCTCCACCCCTTCCTCAGGAAACGGAATCTGGAGAAAACTTGTCTTTCCGGTCGCCCCGCATTTTTCCCTGGACAGAGCCTTTGGTTTCGACTTTCTGAGGGGCTGCAGGCTGAAGGGGAGAGGACTAAGCCGAAGCGCCCTGGCGAAGAGGAGTGTGGAGGCTAGACCGCTTCTAAAAAGGCCCAAGCCAGCACGGGTAGAAGACTGCAGAAAGAAATCCTCTGAGTTTCCCCATCCAAGGGTGGAAAGATGAAGGCTGGGGGTCTCTGAAGTCCAGAAAACTGGAAGAAAATGTGACTGGAAGAGTATGTGACTTGCTTGCAGGGCGGGCCAGGGGTGATTTGAAATGGTTTTGTGTTTTCATTTGCAGGGGTCGCCGTGGCCTCAGCATGGGGGTTGTCCAGGGCAAGGTTAGGCTGTTTAGGCCCCAGACGAGACTTGGGACAGCCTGGGCAGCAGTCAATCCAGGGAGCCATTTGTCCCACCGCCCATCCCGCGGGAAACAGCAGAGACTTTATGGCCACTCTGTTTGTATTATCTGCATAAGTCTTTCCCCACCAGTTTGATCGAAACAGTTCCCTTTTATGAGGACCCAACGAAAATTTCCCGTCATATTTATCAGCTGGGGATAAAAATTTAGTATGGGAGCTGATATTTCCTCATTTATGGGACGATGAAATTAAAGACCAAAGCAATTGAGAATTATATGGCTTTGGGGGGTTCCCTCCCCCCTCTTTCACGTCTCCTTTATTTTTCTGCCTGGTGTGCTTGTCCCTGGAATTTAGCGTCCCATTCTTATGCCATTGCTCTCCTACCCCGTTTTGGAGACTGGTGGGCCCTTTCCCCCACAGCCAGGTGCCCCTTGGCCACCTCAGCTTTTCCTGGTTGTTCTCTAGGTGTTAGTGGCTTGGGGCTAGGATGGCACTACTGGAGACTCTGCTCGGGCCAGGCTGGCAATCATGAGAGATTTGAAGGGAAGAACCTCGAAGAGGACAGGTTTGAGCTCAGCTTGGGAGGGTGTTGGGGGAGTCGGCCGAGGAGAGTGGAGGGGATAAACTTCATTCAAACAAGCCTCAAGGCAGAACCTAGGGAACCAGCAGAAAAGGTGTAGAATCACTGGGCCTGAGGCCCTCTAGCAGCCTGGCCCCCATCCCAAGCCCACCTCTCACCTCATTTGTGGGAGGGGATGGAGTTGCTTCAGAATCCTGGCCATTATTAATGGAAATAATGCCCCCGGGAGAAGACGCCTCCTCCCGCCTAGACTCCCACCTCTTCACAAGAAGGAATAGTGTTTAAAGTTGAAATAATTAGAAGTATGATAAACATGGCCCATTAATGAAAAAAGAAACCAAATTCATCAGCCTAAGTGGGACCCCCGGTGGGACAAACGTTTGCCTCTAATTACGCAAGATAAACGAAAGCGCTGCACTGTTAAAGCAGAGCCGTTTGGACACAGACTTGAATAATTTGTTGGGTTTTTGCAGACTTTGGGATTCTGCCTCAGTGGAGGTAAAAGGAAGGAAGAAGTGAGTGTGAGGACTGGGCCGGGAAAGCATTTGCGGGTCTGGGTCCCAGCCCTGCCCCCTTGGGCGCAGTCTTTCCGGAGGCCACGAGCAAAGGCCCTTTCAGTCCTATTGTCCAGGCCTGGCGTTCAAAGGCACACAGGCCGCCACTGCCACCCCGCCTGCCGCCGCCGCGCTGCCAGGCACCCACTGCCCTGCCCCACAGGGCCAAGACCCTCCAGACTGTGCCCTTGGCCACTGGATTGGGATCCAGGGGAAACTTATGTAGCTAGATTCATCCCCATACGGACTCTTATTAATCCATTTCTCCAACTTTCTGGAGTACCGAGAGACCTGCTGCCTACCCTAACTCTGGGGCCTCCCCTTCTTACCTCAACTGTGGAAATGAAAATCCAGAGTCTGCAGGACAGAAAGGGGCTCAGGCGGTAAATACATTTTGACAAATCCCACCCACCCTCAGAGCACTTCCCCAGGTACCCAGATCCTGGAGGGGCAGCAGGGCCTCCTTCCGCCTGTGGGGCTGTGAGCAAAGGAGAGGAGCAGGGTTCAGGAACTCCTGGAATACTCCAGGAGGATCCAGCGGGTTCCACAGGGCAGGCCAAGGGCTGGAGTGCCAGGGGTCCCCGTGTGAGAGTAGAAGGAAAATGTAATACTCAAGAAACAGAAAGGAACCTCGGCTGCTTTCCGGGCTGCCCTGAAAGCGCCCCAGAAGCATTCTGATTTTGCCAACAAAAATTATCACTTTCCCCAAGAGGTTAAGAAAGTCATCTGGGAAATTCTGAAATGAGGGAAAAAGGAAGAGTGGCTCTTCTTTTAGGATAAAATAATAAAATAAGATAAAATAAAAATAGAATGTGTGTATTGAAATCTCTTCAAGCAAAATGGAAAACAACATCACACTAGTGATTGCACGTTTTATCCTCTTGTTTTGGAGGCCAAGATAAATCCTGTTCCTAAAACTTGAAGGAAAGATTTGCTTTTCTTCTTCACTAGCTTTATTTAAGGGTCTGTCCCAGCTGATTGGAAGCAGAGAAATCCCAGGCAAAATGCGGAATGTTCAGACCCAGAACAAAAAGTGGTTTTCAATTTTTGAACAGGTAGGAGGGAGAGGTAGAAGGCTGAGGGCGCTTTCCGGTCTAATCTGGATATCGCAACTACCCGGGCATCCTGGCCAGGAGAATGTACACACTTTTACCCAGATGCTGTGGGTTTTAGCATCTATACGCGTGTCTGACTTGCGCTTAATTGTGTGTACACAGCCACAAATACTCATTTTTACCCAAAGAGCTCCCTGAGATTCCTGAATTCTGAAGTCTGATAAGCCGCGCCAGCCTGACTGCTTCCTGGCCTTGCCGAAGAAGCCGTTCAGTTATTTAACTTTGCCTCCTGAATCGAAACCAGACCGCAAACACCTGGAGAGAAGCTTTGGGAAGAAGGGACAGATGAGAGGATGTCTTGGGGGAAAGGCCTTGCTCCCCACTTTAATGGTTTGCTTCTAAGTTGCCCAAGTAGGTCAGATTTCCAGACAGAGTCGGGCTGTGGTTGGGCTGGCTTGCTCGGAGAAAAACCCCGAGAGTCTTCCTAACTGGTAAAATTCCTTTTCAAAGGTCTTTGTTTGTCTTTCCTTCCTTCCTTCTCGTTTCGTCCTCCTTTCTGCTTATTTGCTTCTTTTTCTATTTTTCTTTCATTCTTCCCTTTTTGCCCTGCAAGTCATTATTCCTTCTTTTCCATATCCTTTCTCATTATGTCTTAATTCATTGTCTTTCTTTTCCTTCTTTCTTTCTCTATTACCAAGTTTATTATTTGCTTTTTTTCTGTTCAATTCTTTCCTCCCCCTTGACTTTCTTTCCTAGCCTTCCTTATTTTTCTCCGTTGTGCTGGGCTTAGTGAGGGGGAATGCAGAGACTCAGTCGAATGCCTCACCAGTCCGGCCACTAAGGCTTGGAGTTGACCTTTTCTCGCCTTCAGCTTTAGGTAGGCTCCTCACAAGGCGAAGTGTAGGGCTGCCAGCGGCCAGCCACCAGGCCTCAGCCGTCGCCATTAGAGGGAAGGAAAATCATCCCTACTAATGCTAATGGCTCCGTGAAGTGCCAGGCTCCAGGGGTCGTGTATCTTCACTTTCATGGCCCCCCAAAAGCCTTGTCTACCCGGCCTACCTCTGGCAAAGTTGCCCCATCTTTGTCCTGACCTCCAGAGCTAAACATTAAAATGACCCAAAGTTGAGCCAAATTGGTGCTCCCAAGGCTGCAGTCAGGGGAAATGAAGGAAGCAGGTTCTGTCACTCCCAGGTGGGGGGCAGGTCCAAGGGTTCATTCCTGGGCTTGGCAGCTCAAGGCCACTGTCCCCACACAAGCTCCTTTGTTCTCTGGGCTCCTGGGCTGCAGTCCTGTTGGTCCTCTGTCTCCTTTGGTTCTGCAACCACTTGCAACCTCTGGGCAGGAGTTTCTTGGCATTTCAATTCTTTATTCAAACCCATTGATGACTTCATAGGCAGAGGGATGTAGGACTGTATGTGCAGACCAAATAGGTGGTCTGAGTCAAGGTTATGGGTCTCAGCTTTGTAGGGGGGTTTGGGGGAGGAGTATACAGTGTTGTGGCTGCGTGCCTCTGTGTGTGTGTGTGTGTGTTTCTGTGTGCTTGTGTGGGTATGTGGGGAGAGAGAGAGACTGTGTTTACAGGAAACCAAGTGTGATGGGGAAAGGTCCTGTCATGAGGACATTGTCTAAACTTTGGGGGTCTGTAAAAGTGTTTCTCTACACCAGAGGGTTCTGTGGGAGGCCGGGAGCCTCTGTTGGCTGACAGCTCTCAAATCTGGGTCCAAGGTGGGCTTCAGGAAGGATAGACCCAGATCATCAAGCCTTTTTGCTGTAGGCAGAAAGACACGGCTCCAGACGCTCTCCCCCCACCTCAGCATCCTCAGTATCTCAGAGCCCCTCTCTCTACTCTCCTCCCAAAGATCTGAGATTACATCCATTGGCAAAACCAAAACTTCAAGTTTTTTTTTTTTTTAAGGGAAGGGAAATCTTGTAAAAATTTTATGCCAAGCGAAGTTATAAAAACTTCCCGGGCGTTGCCTTTTCCAAAGGTTTATATGAATAATAAAGAGCGTAGTCGCGTGCACAGGGTTCTGGCGGGGCTCTGAGTAGGGAGAATTAGCAAACAGCATTATCCAGCCCCTGGGGCACCAGAAAACCCCAGTGGCTGCCCCCTTCAGAGAATATTGGCCCAGAAACAATTGCCCTACCGATTGCTGAGAGGGGCGGAGAGAAGGAAGGGGTGGTGCCCTTGACTCCCTTGAAGTTCAAAGTTCTTCTTTGCCCTGGTGAGAAAACCACTCTGCCTTCAGCCCAGTCAAGAAATTAGCCCAAAGTAGTTTCTGTCCCTCTGATTGAGAAGTGGCTCCAAGT